TAATATGAGAAAATGAAAAAATGGAAATAAAATCTTTGTAAATAGGGAGGGATAGAGGGGTTAAAGGGAGAGCAGAGGAATGGGGGAAAAATAAGAACCAAGAGAGACTATGTAAAGGTGCAAATTTGCAATGATGAATGCCATTATATTGTATACCTAAAATGTACCAATAAAATTAATTTTAAAAAAAGTTCACTGAGATGCAGTTTTCTAGATGGAAAACTCAATTTTCTAATGACCATCTGAGTACTAATATCTGAAAAGTCTCTCTAATTACAAAGTTTAACCATTTATTCTAAATAGGTAGCTGTCATTAACAAATATGCTCATTTACATTAAAAAGAAGCTATTGCTGATTGAAATAGAAATCAGAGAGAGGCAGAATTCAAACTAGGATCTATCATTCATTCTTTTCCTTTAAATCACTGGAGTATCATAGGCAGAGATCTGAACACCCAGAAGCTTAGAGGCCTGGGCTGTGTCCTGGCTTCTGCATTTTTTTCTTTTTTTTTTTTGAGATAGCATCTAGTTCAGGCTTGCTTTGAGGTCATTATGTAGCCTAGGCTGACCTCGAACTGTGATCGTCCTGCCTCAGTCTCCCAGTGCTGGGATTATAGGGGTGTGCCACTATGCCTCGATAACTTCTGCCTTTTAGTTCTTAGCTTTTTTCACCTGGACAAGCTGCTTCACCTCTGACTGTTTTCTCACATGATGGACTAGACCAGTGGTTTGCAAACTGTGTTTCCTGCTGTTTCCTGAGACTCCTCTGAGGAATCCGAAGGCTTAAATGGAAAGGCTAAGACAACCTATATCTACCCACCCAGCTTCAATCAGAACAGCCCCACCTATCTAGCTCATATTTTGAGATCTCATACAAGTTCAATTCAAAAAGGGTTCTGTGACCAAAAAAGAATATTTGAAAAGCTCTGGATGTTCTCCAAGTTCCTTCCAAAGCTAGCCATCTATGACTCACTCAAGCTTCCTCATTTGGGAGCAGAACAACCAGACTGAAAAGAGGCAGGGAGTAAGGGTCACACCTGGTGGTGGTGAAAGCAGAGCTTACCTGTGATTCTGCCCACTGTTCCTTTCACAAAGTTGCCAGCATACCCAGCTACATGTGCTCCAAGGCTGTAGCCAATCAAGTGAACATTCTCTAGAGAAAAACCATCCTTTTCCTGTAGAAAGTTACCAAAGCATGTGAGGTGAAGAACATGGTCCTGAGTCCCCAAAGCCACCAATAGTTTAACAAATCCATCAAACTGAGGAGAAGCCACAGGCACAGAGATTCCCTCAGAGATTGCTGGTCACTCAAGATGCATGGCTTTCAGCCAGGGATGGAAGGTCAAAAGGACTTGTGACACTGCAAATTCCAAGAGGGCAGGAAGGAGGATGTGATTACAAGCTGCATGCCTGACCATTCCTCACATGTTTATCTACATGTTTTCCATTCTTTTGGGCAGCATCTAGGGGGCAAAGGGGCAGACGTCAAAGACATCCTACTCATTGGAGACCAAAGTGCTAGCCATAGCCTGCAACACCTCAATCCTTGCCTGCTCTCTTAGGCCTTGTGCTTCAACCTGGCCCCAGAAGCTGCTGACCTCCTTACCATAAGCCCATCTGGAAGCCCTGAGTTGCACGAAATCTCTTTCCAAAGAATTCAGCTTGTGGGAAGTAAAAAAGTGGGGCCTTGAACCCATGGCTCAAGAACCAAACTCTACAAAACAACAGGCAGAGCCTGGGATTTAGTTCAGTGGTTCCGCCACCTGCCCCGCTAGTGAAAGGTCCCGAGTTCGATCCCCAGTACAAAAACAAAAACAAAAACAGGCAAAGCAGAGAGGACCTGCTCAAGAACCCTGCCCAGAACTCATCATATTCCATGGGTAAAAGGAAGTCAGGCTAGAAGTGCCCAGATCCTAGAGGCATTATGCCAGTATATCTCTGCCTCTCTTCCCCCGGTGAAGTCCACTGGTCTCAGGCAAATTATTAACTTATAAAAAGTAAATACACAATCTTAAGACCTGTTTTGCACATTTAATATTTTAAAGAAGGTAACAGGCTTCCTGTGTTTGATCCAACCTCCTTCCCACCCTTAGTATGGTTCAGAAGCAAGAGCAAACTTCAAAAGATATTGAAGATTACAAGCCTGTCCTGGCTCCTGGCCACCCTGACCAACCTAAGGACATCAGCTTCTAAGATCAGCAAGTAACTAGCAATAAGGCAAATTTTCTTACAGCAAATAAAGTAAAAATTCAGAGATCTATTAATTACTAAAAGGTTCCCTAAAAGTCCCAGCTTTCAAGTATTTCAAGTAAGACTTAATTCAGAAAAAAATTTTAATTCTAAGGATTTTTGTCAAGAGTTTGGAAGTTCACAATAACACGTGTGGCCTATATTTCCCAAGGACATTGGAGTTTAAGATCCTGCTTCTGAGTGGAGATGACCCCCTTTCATTCCCAGTTACCTGCAGCCAGTCAAGCATCCTTGCCACACTGTGCCCCGCTACCCTAGAGTTATTGACGGCATCTCTGTACAGCTGTTGAGCCAGGGGTAGCCAGTCCACCACCACTACATTGGCATCTTTCTCTCTTGTCTGGAGGGCTGACACAAGTGTGTGTAGCCAGTTATGAACCATACCACCCATCTGCAAAGAAAACAGGAAACAAAAAAAAAATTCTTCTCTGAACTTTGAAATGCTAATGAATACAGTAAGTCCTCAATTTATGAACAAATTCCATGCCAGGAGAACATTCATAAGTCAGATACAAATAAGTCTTACACAGTACACCTGTGAAAGGTCACAACTCAAATATCCATAAGTCTGGGACTTAACGTATAAAATCTCATCCCATAACCCTCATCCCATCTGACTTTAAAATCTTCAGAGCACGTGATCAGGAAGCAAACATTTTCACATGAGCAGGGCCACTCAGAGACAGAATTGCTACATGAGCATTTTCTTCCATTGCTCTTCACACCTCCAGTTTTTGCCATCAAAATTTTCATAGCTGGTGACCTATGCTATTGCCCTGCTGTCTAGGAGATATGTGTTGGCAGTGATGCTGGCATGACGTTAGTTGAGTCCCTGCTACAATCAGGCAAGTGGCTTGGTTCATCCTTCAAAGGCAGCTGGGAAGGGTTGCCCTGGAGAATCAGCTCCTCCCTTAGAGATGCAGGGAGATGCTGTTTCCTAGGCAAATACACAGTTAACAAATGACCCCTTCCCACAGCCCATCTCTGCCAACCCTTTTGACCCTAGAGCTGGGAAAATCCATTCCTGGAATCCCAAATCAGAACTCAGGACACATTTTCCCACAGAAACAAAGTTATAAATGGTGACTAGGACCAGCTGTAAACCTATCTACAAGTACATTATCAAATAAATAGATTTTCTGTGCTTTGGCTGGGAACCCAAACACTATTTACAATCTTTCTTCTATGGGAAACTGCTGTTCCAAGTTCCAAACACATTACAAAGGAACTTTCTGGAATACAACCCATTGTAAGTTGCAGGCAGTTTGTATTTGCATTTTGACAGAGGGGCCTTAAAAAGATTCAAATGCATGATTCCAGTTGCAGGTTGTGGGATGAGGACCCAGGACAGGCCCTTAATCATTCCCTTCGTCACATTAAGTAGGTAAGCACCTCCCCTCCCCATACCACCCCCCAATCCCAAATGTTAGTGATAGACCTAAAGACCCAGAAAGAATGTAACAGATATGAATTTCTCATCATTAAGAGGAAGAATGTCCCCACTCAATTAGCCAGGGCAGAAACCTGCTCACTTAATAGGGCCATTTTCCTAGAGACTGTCATTATATGAATGAATAAATCCCTTGCTGGTCAAGAATTTCTGAAGCTGAGTGCTAAAGCCCTTTTTTGTTAAAGTTTGTCATGGGACTTTCAATGGGAATTGCTCAGCTAGGGCAAATAAAGAGCCCCAGTGCCTTTAAACGGGGCCATCTCTATGCAAACAGGAGGGCACCATGCCAACAGCAGACAGACACCAGGGCCAGCTGGTCCCTCACAGATTCTCAGAGCCAGTCAAGTTGCTTCAGTGCAGCTCAGCTCTTAAGGCAGGATGGCCCCCTCCAGGCACTGGCTGACCAATGTAATTAAGTATAATTAGAGAGCCCTTCAGAGCCAGTGGAGCTAGGCTGCTGCCCTCAGGAGAGCCACTTTCTGAAAGCCTGTTGTGTGCCAGCACTAAATACCACCCTGCTGGAGTCCAGATTGCCATCTCAGCGAAGCCCCCATTACATCCTTCACAGCTGTCTGAAATACAAGCAGCCCACAAGGAAAGGGGAGAAAGGCTTTGGAATCTGGGAGCACCAGTATTCTTTTTAATTGATCAAAATAAAGGGAACCAAATTTGTGTAAAGCCACAGAGCTCCCTCCCCGGGATTCACCGTCCATCCATGAATGATGAAAAAGGTTTTGGCTGTCATGTTGAAGCTACAGTCTTCTAATTGCTGGTTGTGGCCAACGGAGAGGTAGCATCCTTCATGCTCTGGGTCCTTAGAGGTCCGGAGGTTAAAATGCACAGAGGGTTTGGCTGCAGCCTTTACCTCCCTGGATTTGTGAAGCTCATCTGGAGAGAAAGAACAGAACGTGGATGCTAGGGCATGGATAGGGCAATGAGAGGTCTAGTTCTAGTCCAGTCTTGAGCAAATTACTTAACCATCTGAGTTCCAGTTTTTACACCTGCTGAATGTTCCCTCTTTACCCTCTGGGAAAATTGTGAAGATATTATAAAAGGGATATCACATGTATACTCAATAAATATTAATTAGTCACTTGTATTAATTACTATGACTCTGAAATAGGCACATCTGTTACTTTTCTCTATCCATCCTTACCAAAACAACTTCTTCTTTCCCTCAGGTTCCTACTTTTAGTGCATGGGTCTTCAATTCTTTTCTCAAAAAGCCTAGGACCAGCTGAGTCTCTTAAGTTTTCTTTTTTCTTTTTTTTTTTTTTTTTTGGTACCGGGGATCGAACTCGGGTCCTTGTGCTTGCGCAGCAGGTGATGAAACCACTGAGCTAAATCCCCAGCTGGCTGAGTCTCTTAATTCAGAAACTGTCATATTTTAGAAAGGCATTACAAGAACATACACTGTATATTATATAACACTTCCCATGGGGCCTGGGGTATTCCCCACAAATCAAATACACTAATATTTCTGCAGAGAAATACAGGATTACTCACGCTCAAGGGCAAAAATGAAAAGATTAGGAATAGATTATTGCTACCTCAGGTCAGATTTTGCTCTCAAATGAGTTCAGATGAGGTAAGGCCAGGTCTTGCTGACAAACAAGTTCCCAACCAATTTTCCAATTTTGAGAGATTCTGGATTTTGCAACTTCAGATAAGAGGCTGTTGACCCATTCTTTATACAATGGGCATTCCCTGGTGTTTCCATCTTGCTTCTAGCGCTTTTTTCAAGAATCTCATGCATCCTCAGGGTCCTTTGCAATGCTGACAGGCACGAGGAATTCACCCAGTTTGTTGCATGAATGTTTGAAGTGTGATGAAACTCCTTAGAGAAGCAAAGCTGCCCCTTCCACTTCCGCTGCTCACACACAATGCTACCAAGGAGATGGCCTTGCTCCAAAAGCTCAGCCTATGTCAATGATGGTCCCTATGATTGTATGACACTAAGCAGGCACTGTCATTGCCACACTATTTCAGATAGTTACTAATGGACCCCTGCTAGCACTCTCTCAGCCATCCTGGTAAATATTACCAGATGACAGGCTAGCTAGAGAGAGCATCAAACTCTCTGGTCACCCAGCGGTCAGGGAGATACCAAGTGACCACAGCAAGAACTTAATTTACCCCAGAGTTGAGAAGCAAAAGGAATCATGGAAAGAGCAATCATAGTTGTGGAGAAGGTGGTGATAAATAGAGGTGGAAGGAACAAAGGGCAGGTAGGGAATGGACCGGATAGATGTAAGAAGGAGTAGGTTCCAGAAAATGCTGCTAAATATACATGAGCAGAACTCAGGTTAACTGTCATCAAAGTAATGTACAAAAGTCCCAATGGCAGAAATTTGAACCATGGCAATAAGTACTCCAACAGCTTCCGAATTTCCACCTGGGAGAAGAGAAGGAAGCCTAGGGCAAAAGAGGTCTGCTGGTCTCCCGAGACAGACATGTGAACAAAACCACACATGAACAAACAAATTCTAGCCTGGCTTCAGGCTTGTTCTGACCTCACAGTTCTCTACCTTCATTCCTGCTACTCTGGGACTGGGTCGCTTTACCTGAGGGCTTCCTAACTATTCTTCACCCAGATGTCCTTGAGGTTCCTCTTTCGTGTCCTTGTGCTCCATGTTCAAGGGACAAGTTCACAGGAAGACCTTCCTGACCACATAATAGGACCCCCACACCACTCCCCCAGGCACAGGACTGCACACTTTCCTCCTCTGCTTTTCCTCCATGAGCCTAAGCACCACTTTTGTATTTTCACTAATTCACTGTCATCGTTGTGCCATAAGGGCAGGGACTGTCATCCATTCTGACCCCTGCTGTCTCCTCCACTCCTGGAAGAGTGCCTGCCACGAGGGAGAAATGCAACGAATACTTTTTGAATGAATGACATGACCCACAAATGTGCAGAAGCATAGAACACAGAAGTTGGAAGGACCTTTAGCAGTTTTTCAGGGAAGAAACAAGAGATATGACACATTTTAGGTCATGCTTCTAGTCAGCACTAGAGTTGGAAACACATTTAGTAAAGTAAGGCTTTCTCATTCATTCAAATGATTTCTCCCACAAGGACTTACACTGACTTTTGCCTCAACATCTGCAAACAAGGCTTAAGGATTGGGACCGGTTTTAAGGGTTCCCCCACTCTCTACTGCTTAACCAGCTGGGTCTAGGTGATCCTGCCCTCACTCCACCAGGCAGGCAGCCTCTAGTGGGGAAAAAACGCTATCAGGAAGAAGGAGAAGAGGAAGGAAGGAAGGGTGCTGGAGGGAAAAGAGAGTGACAGTCTGGAGCAGGGCCCTCAATAGAAGTTTCTCTGCCCAAATTACTCACCAGACGGCCCCTGTAAGCACTAATCAAACCAGAGCCAGCTCTCCTGCTCCCCCTGAACTTTCAAAAACACCTACCCAAAGTTAAAAGGGGGAGTGCCAGAGAGAAGGCAGAGCTCTTTCTAACAAACTTCTTGCCCCTACCTTCCAAAAGAGCTGCTGACAGACAAGTCCGCTGGCTGGACAGCAACGAATAGAGGAGCCATAAATGGAACGCGAGAGGGAAAGAGGCAAGGCAGGAGGCAGCGCATCCTGCCCAGCTATCGCCTCCCCTCCCGGGTGACTCCTAGGGATGCCTTTATCGGAAGCGCTGAGGAACAAGGGGCCTCCGAGGCTGAGGCGGAGGAGAGAACAGACTGCGCAATGGGAAAGGAAGAGGATTTCGCAGGAACAGAGTCGGCAAGACAGAGGGGGCCTAGCACAGAAAAGTTGGGGTGGGTAAATAAAAATAAATGCACATTACCTTCCAGCTGTCCCTCGGGACCAAAGGGTGTGGAGTTTCCTGCCGCAAAGCAACAAAAGATGCTCCAGAAGAAGAGCAGAAGAACGGTGTTTCTCATCCTTCTCCCCTTCTCCGCCACGCCCCCTCCTCTGAATCAGGGATTTAAAAAAAAAGCCACTACCACTTTCCGAGCTGGTACACCTCAAAGGTGAGGAGCCTCACAGCCAGATGATGGACTGGACAGCTGGAGGAGAGGGTGGAAATTGCAACCCTGGCTGCTCTGACGGCGAGGCTGAGGGAAGGGCGGTTGTGGGAGGGCTTGCAGCAGAGCCAGACCCACCCCTCGCCCTGGGCCGCTGGGAACCCTGGGCTCCTCGCAGTCCCACAGCGATCTCCTGGCGAGGTAGTTTTTAAAGTATCAGAGTCATCTGACCCATCGCCAGATGGTTATTTGCATAATTTATTCCCGTTTCTGGACGCTGATTGGTCACACCTTCGCTGACGACGCAACTGAGTCTCCCCAAAGTTTGAATGAAAGCATCGCACACCCACCGCGTGGACGCGCAACGCGCGGACGGGCTGCTCCTTCGCTGGCAGGTTTTGCAGGCTGCTGAGACTCGAGCTTCCCCAAGTCCCTCCAGAGTTCTCCCACAGGCTACAAAATCCTCCTCTCTTCCCTTCGCTCCAAGGGACACAGTTCCTGGAAACCATGCGCCCGCTGGGGACGCGATCCCTGGAGAAGGGAGTGCATCTTCTCCAAGGTGCAAAGCTATCCCCGCGCCGGAAATAGCCCCTCGGGGCCCCTGACCTAAGGTCCCGGTGGTGCGGAGCCACCTGCTTATCTTGATCCTTATCTTCTTCCACTCCCTCTCAGCGAGGGCCGCAACAGGTGCAAGCCATGTGACTGGACAATAGCCGGGCGGAGCTGAGGGCGCTTCGGGATCACAGAAACCTTGTTCGGAGACCTGGTTCCACCACTAGCTGCGAAACTGCAAGTTCTCCAAGGGCATTCCAGGGTCTGCGGCGCACGGATGATTACAGTTCCTGCCACTTAGGGATCTTGGGGAAAAAAGTAAGCCCTCACGTAGCTCAGTGTGGCGCCGGCGCTCCGGGGGCGATCCCTTGCCCCGGGTGGGGGACTGCAGGGCACAGAGGTTTGTGGTCGGGTCTCCACGCTCGCGCCGTGAGCCCCTGGCGAGTGGAATTTGGCACCTTCTTTTTCTCCCTTATGTCCCTGTTTCTTTCCCTTTCTCTTTTGATCCGAGTCCCGAAACTGAGCGACGAGCGCTGGAGACCGCGGCGCGGAGCCTGCGTCGGGCGCAGCAGGGTTAGGGCTGAGCCAGGGCCGCGGCGGAGCCCCTGCGCCCCTCCGGCCGCCGTGAGGATGCGGAGCGCGGGCGAGCTGGGACCCCCCAGCGCCGGGGCCGCTTTCTGCCAGCCGGGAGAGCGGGATCGGCGAGGCGGCGCCCTTGATCGGGAGTAACCCAGCGGTTGGCAGAAACCGGTCTGACCCCTGCCACAGGAGAAGAACCCACAGCAGCTCTGGGCCTCTTCCTCCCCAGTGTCCGCGCTGCAGCTTGAGAGACGAGTTTGAGGAACCCGGCCCGGCCCGGGGCGAGCTGGTCTTGTTCTGACCTTCCCTGGTCATTTTGTTCCTCCAGCTGCCCTGCCCTATGCTTTGTCCCTCCAGTGGGCTATCATTCATTAACAGGAGGCAAGCTGGATTTAAAAAAAAAAAAAAAAAAAAACCTCAGTGTTTCGTATGGTATGGGTAATGTCAACGCAGTTACTTTACTCCCGTCACCCTCCCAGTGGCAAAGCGTACAGACGAGGCCAGGTGTTATCTTCATTTTGCAGATGGGAAAACAGTCGTGGGGACCGGATGTACGTTTGAAGGAAGTTTCACCACAACAGTCTTTCTCATCTGCTCTTGGCCAAGTGGTCTCTAAATATGAGCCCTTCGCAACTTTGTCTCCATGTCTCTAGAGGCTGAGGGGTTAACTTGTGATCAAAACCCCTCCTTCTTTACCCCTGGGCAGTGGAGGCCTGCTACACGGGAGGCTGAGGCAGAAAAATCATTTGAACCCACAAGCTCCAGGCAGCCTGAGCAATATAACAACCAATACACGAACTCAAAAACAAACAAACAAATAAACCAAGCACTCTTCTTGTTCTGATTTGTTCACAACTGTTGTTTTGAGAACATTAAGTAAACAATATGGAGGGTGTGTCTTGGATACCTTTGTCACAGGTGAGACACTTTGGGGTAGATATATATTCCTGCAAAGTTGATTGTCCTGCCTGGAACAAAACAAATAAACAAAAGGTTAAACGAAATCAACATCCATTTTTAACTACCAAGGCTATAAAGCCATACAAGTTTCATTGCTAGTTGGTTAGAGTGCCCTCCTGTGTCTCCATATTAAGATATCATATGAGAAATTTCAAAGGCCATAACACCAACCATTATTCTTCATACCTTCCAGAAGAACCACAAGGAAATTTGAGGAGTGTCCTGTGTGGAGCAATGTTCACCTGAGGAACCTGAGCGTGAAACTTCCTCTGTGTTGCAATCAAAATTGAAAGTCTCTCAGGCTACCTTGTTAAACATCTCTCGTCATGGTCTTTCATCAACCCAGCTTCTAAAGACCCTACCTATTTTACCAGAGTGAATTCCGCTATGGTAAGAGCCTACTTCCCACTGCAGAAGCTAAAAAGCAAACACTTGCCTTACCAGACTCCCTTGGAACTAGAGTTCTCAATTTAAACTCAGTCAACAGACTGAACTGGAACCTAGTGAGGCTCCCACTAGTGAATGCTCTGCCAGTGGTCAGCCAGCTCTGCTTCTCAGAGGCAGCAGTGGGCCGTCCACCAGACTATTCTGCAGAGAAATTTGGGGCATTGCTGTCTCCCTCAGTGTATCCTCCAGGCTTGATTCTTCTACCCTGCAGAGATTCCAGTCCTTACCCAATATCATCTTAATGAGTTCCTCTTTAGCATAAATCATCCAGACACTACTTGTATTACTTACAGCTAAGAAAATGACTTCCTTATCAGGTGTTTATGGAACAGCTACTAGGGAGAAACACTGGGCTGAATGTCTCGAGGAATACTCTGAAGGTCATCCTTGCTCTCCAGATACAATGTAAAAAGTTAAAAATGCCAAAAGGGTGGCATGTAAGAGTTCCCTGAGATGTAGACCAATGTTGTTCAATAGAAATAATACAAACCACGTCTTCGCCAGCTCACGCTGCCATGATAAACTATCATAGACGAGGTGCCTTAAACAACAAATTTATTTTCTCATAGTTTTGGAGGCTAGAAGTTCAACGTTAGGGTATGAGCATAGTTGGGTTCTGGTAAAGGGCCTCTTCCTGGCTTCTGTGTGGCTGACTTCTCACTGTATCCTTACATGGCAGGGAGAGAGAAAGTGCTGTTATCACTTCCGATAATGGCATTAATCCTATCATGGGCCCCACCCTCATGATCTCATCTAATCCTGACTACCTTCCAAAGGCCCCAGCTCTTAAAACCACAGTGAATCAAGGCTTCAACATATGAGTTTGGGGTGACACAGCTGAGTCCATAGGACCACATACATAATTTTAAGATTTCGAGACAGCAGCATTATAAGATTAAAAGAAACAAATGAAATTCTAATAATTCATTTAAGCCAATATATTCAAAATATTTCAATGTATTGCCATTATAAAATTTACTAATGAAATCCAGTATATATTTTATACTTGCAGCACATGTCAATCTGAATGCCACATTTCAAGTACTCAGAATCCCATGTACCTAATGGCCACCATTTTGGACAACATAGATCTAGCGTGTTAAAATTAAATCAAGTGCAAGGTATAGTGGCGGGCATCTGTAATCCCAGTACTTATGAAACTGAGGCAGAAGGATCACAAGTTCAAGGCCAGCCTGGGCTACATAGCAAGAAACTCAGGAAAAAAAAAATCAGTGTGAGAAATCATTTAGTAAACCATCTCAATTAACAGATAATGAAATGAAGACCCAGCCAGATGAACTGACTTGCCCAAGTTCACACAGTTGATGAAAAAGCAGAGATGGGACACAAATTCAGGTTTCTGATACCAAGATCAGGTCTTTTGCCATGGCCTCTCCCTGTTCAAAGACAGAAAGGATAATGGAGAGTTGGAAGGATCAGGATCATAGAAGACCTGGAATAAAGTTACATTGTTTTAATTACTTTCTCATTGCTGGGACAAAATACTTAACATCTACAAGTAAAAGAAGGAGAGATTTATTTTGGCTCATAGTTTGTAGAGGTTTCAGCCCATGTTCCAAGGCAGGTTGGTTCCAAGGCAAGGTGGCCTAGTAGAGGGGCATCACACAGGAGAAATAGCTCATAATGGCAGGCAGGAAGCAGAGAGAAATCGAAGGAGGCTGGAGGGAGACACACCTTTCCAGGCCACACCTCCAGGGACCTATCTCCTCTCACCAGGTATCACCTCCCAAATCACATTTAGCTATAAACTTATCGGTGGATTGATCCACTGACTAGTGTCATGTCCCCAAGATCCAATCAGCTGCCCAAACCCCTACCTATGAGCCCATGAGGCTTTGGGTGAAATCTAAATAAACCGTAAAACCATTCATTCAAAGAGAGAAAGAGAGAAGAAAAACTAGCACAAACATGACCCCATCAAATAGTAAACACTTGTCATATTCCCGACATTGTGCTAGATGCTATAAGAAAATAAGAAATTAAAACTATAACTGAATGCCCACCTTATTAAAAGTTCCAAGAAGAAAAAATGCATAAGAAAATTGCACTGATAGCAAACACTATTGAGTGAAGGTGAGGCTTGAGAAAACCTTAATGGATGAAAAGGCCATATTCACAACTCTTTCCTGACACAGGGATCTTCCCGGGTCATACACTGCCTGCAAACTTTGAGAAGGAACTGCAAAGCTCCATCAAGACAGCAGCATCTCTCTGCTAATTTGCCTCTTAGTTCTGAGTACCAAGTTGCCTGTCTCTCCCCTCCATAAATTAAAAGGCCAGAAGCTTCCAACTACTGACTGCTTCTAACAGCAGAAGTCTTGAAAACTATAGCAGCATTTCCCATTGTATGCCCTAGGATGTCAATAGATGTGATATGGAATAAAAGCAGGAATATCGAGTTAAACAAGCTCTTATGGTTCGGGTCTAGATGTTTCCTCCAAAGCCTCATGAGGTCCTAGGTGGGGCTTTCTTTCAGAGGTGGCTGGATGTAGAATGTGTGACACTGGAAGTGATTCATGGTGCACTGCTAGGTTCAAGGGCACTGGGACTAAAGGTGTGAGTGCTACCACCCTAAGTAGTTTGGATAAAATAAAAGGGGCAGAAAGAGGCTGTTTTTGTCCCCTGTTGCTTTTGCTACCTTGTGCATGCCGTGTTTTTTCTCCTCTGCAATGCCTGTCTGCTATCCACCCTGCCTTGGAGCCAGCTGATTATGAACTGAAACCCCTACCAAATGTAAGGAAAATAAACTTTTCCTCCTTTAACTTTGGATAGCTGGTATTTTGTCTCAGCTATGAGAAAAGTGTCTAAGACACAAGCTAAGACTAGCTTTTTCACTCCAGAACTTCTCTGGCCTTTAGCATGCTTTAACCTGTTTGTGGTTTCAGTTTCAAGATCAACAACATTGATACATTCCATAACCCCCTGCATGGATGGCCCAGAAGGGTGGCAGCTCCTCATCTTACACCACATCCCTTCTTTCTCTGCTTCCTGCCACACCAGCCTTGCCACAGCTTCTCCGAGTCTACCCAGATCTATGCCATCAGATGCAGCTGCCTCAAGCTGTCTTGGCTTTTGTGCACTGGACATGTGCTAGTCTAAATTGAAATGTTTTGTAAGTGTGAAAGACACACCTGATTTTGAAGACTTAGAACAAAGAAAATATGAAACATCACAAAATCTTTATATTGATTACATGTTGAAATTATGTCATGTATTTTGAATTAGGGAAATATATTATTAAAATTATTTTCACCTGTTTCTTTTTATCTCTTATAATGTGGTTACTGGAGAATTTATTATTATTTATGCAGGTCACACTGGGGCTTTTTCGTTTTTATTTACTTATTAGTACATATCTCTAATACATAATGCTTACATTCCTTGTGGGGAATTGGTACATGCATGTAACACATCTTAGCTCTTTTTTATTACTTTCCCCGTCCCTCCCTCCTCCACTCTCCATCTCTTGGTCCCCTTCCCTTTTTTTAAATACATATTTGCTGTACATAATTTTTATATTCCTCATGTGGAGTTGGTACACGTACATAATACATTGAACTCTTTTTTTCATATTCTTTCTCTCCCTTCCCTCCCCATTCCCTCCCTCTCGTGATCTCTTTCCCCTTTGAGAAAGAACTGTTTCCCTACTTCCTATTATCTATCTTTTATTTTTATGAGATACCCTATAATCCTAAGATTTATCTATTTCTTTGACCAAGTTAATACTAACTCTTGTCATGTTTCAGATATCTATTTCTGTCCTTTCTTTAGAAATTTTCCCAATTGTTGGCCTAGATTTCCGGTAAGAATGTTCCTTTCTTTTCCAGAATTTACACTGGTTTGTAATGATATGTTACTTATTTGGCTATTTGACTAATGTTCATCCCCTGGTTGGCATAAACACCATGAAAGCAACAGTAGGGTTTGTTTTAGTTTATCACTCTCCCAGAGCCAAGCACGAAGCCTGGCATATAGAAAGAATTTGCTCAATATTTTTTTAATATTTATTGGTAGAAATAGATCTTCAATGCATACTTTGTGTTTATATAAACTCTACACTCTCTTAAGTTTTTTATTTGGAGCTTGTTGGCCTCCAAGTGAATTTAACATATTATCTACACATTTGATTCTGTGTAGACCTCTTTTTTAGATTTTTTTTAAACTAAATTTCAGAACCCATGTATACTGTATACCTTATTTAATCCAAAGAATTGTTTCCACTTTCAAAAAAATCATAAAAAGGCTGAACTCAAGTTAAATAATCTGTATGTCCTAAATTTCTCTTATTTCATTTCTGAATAAAGAAATACTTGTATTACATATTGCTTGCTAATAAATCAGATTGCCCAGAGATGCTTCAGTAAATTATCTCTATTTTAAAATTATATCTTAATCTACTTTCAGAAATGATCTTGTCAATATTAAACATTGTGCCATATGCAGTATTAGCCCAAAAGCATAAATAAGGAAGTTAATTGACCCCAACTTAAAAATCTCCATTTGCAATATGACCTCAGCTGAAAGTAGTGGTAGGTAGTTTTGCTTTGGTTTTTTTCTATTCTGTGTTCCTCCTATTTTGCAGATCAAGAACTCCAACTCATTGAATTCCCCCATTCAGAAGATATGTAAAGGCAGCTGAGTAATTCTCCTTGGTAAAGACATTTTAATGCAACTGCATTCATGCAGTTTGTGCATGGGTGTATATTTTTCTTCTCCATGTATATAGTCAAGTGAAAAATTAGGTTTAATGAGGGCTTAGGGTAGTTTAAAGGGATTTTCTAGAAACTATCCAGGCCTGGAACATTTCTCAGGGGAAAGGCAGTGCATGGTTAGAGGTCATGTTATAGGTCCACCGAGAATATGAGACTTGGGAAATAGTTATCAAGTTTCACTCACATCTACCCTCTCACCCCAAAAACACAAAATCAAAGCAGTTCAGCTCAGAGTGTTATTTTAACTTTCTAGATTAATAATTTTCTCCAACTAGCCACACACAAAAGCTAAATGAACACTGCTGACATCAGCCAAGAACTTCAAGATCCTGCACAGGCCTAGCAATAGTCACCTCTCAAGGAGAGGACTGCAGCCAGGACTGTCCTGATGGAGCCCAGCTGAGCAGACCATAGCAGTCACCGAGCTGAGACTTCCCCCATCCCAGTACCCTCCCCGGGGAACAGGGGAAACCTGAGACTGACAAACAGGATGATGGCTAAATGACAGGCTGGACAACCAGATCACCAAAGCCCATTTTTAAGTGTTTTGGGAACCTTGAAAGCTCTGAGAAGAAAAATATTAAACTGGAAATACCCAAAATGCTCCATTTTCTAGTGAAATATATTACAAAGAATGGGACTCAGCAAATACAGAATATCTAAATAAGCAGATAACCACAAGAAAAGGTTTATAAAAGAATCACCTATATAGAAGGTACAGTATGGCAAAAGTGGCTGGAGAAGTGGGTGGGATCAATCAACTTCAAGATCCCAGGGCCAGGCCACATGATTCTCAGGACCCCAAATGAAGAACTTCTCGTAGGTTCCCACTATGTGGACTACATATAAGGATGCAGACTCCAGGAGAAGCCCAGGAGCCTGCTACTGTGACTCTTCATGGTAGCCCACCTGTGGCTCCTAGATGGAGGGTACACTTTTATTTTTGCTTTTACCCTTTCTTTTGTTCCTCCCTTACCCCTTCAACCACCACCACCTTTAAAATAAACTTTTGGCCCCATTTTTGGCTTGTCTCATCCAATTCTTTGTTAGAGACAAAAAGGTCCTGGAAGGGCCAGGGATTTAGCTCAGTGGTGCCGCTGCCTGCCTTGAAAGTGCAAGGTCCTGAGTTTGATCTCAGTACCAAAAAAAAAAGGATCTGGAATACTTTTGTTTGGTGAGCCATTTTTAAAGGAACTACTTGACAACACACCCACCCAGCTCAAAGTGCCTAGTATGTATGATTTCTCAGGTAAAGTTCTTTATACTATCAAACTCATGATTAAATCAAATTTCCCCCATTCTGTATCTATGCTGACATAGCAAAACATAGGCAGAAAAAAAAAATCAAACATGTGGGCCGGGGATTTAGCTCAGTGGTTTGGGAACCTGCCTCACAAGTGCAAGGCCCTGAGTTCGATCCCTGATACCAAAAAAAAAAAAGAAAAAGAATCAAACTTGTGGCTAAGTTACATGATGACCACTGACTTCAACTGGTATTTAATTTTGCCTAGCAACAAAACTATATTACCCTATACCATTTGTCCCTCTCCCCCTTCTTCTAGGAAACTCTCTTTCATCTTCTCCCCTCCCCTCAAATCTCCAAAGTCTCTCTGCTCCTCACTCTCAGCTAATGACTCAACTGTCCATTTACTAGGAAAATAAAAATAACCAAAAGAGAACATCCACAAGACCTCACCATTACATCCATTCACCTATCTCACCATTACATCCATTCACCTACTTGATCCTACCCACGTCCTCAGCCTCCCTGCCTGTTACCAATGAGGGACTGGCTATGATTTTATCTAACCTTACCCACCCCACTCCATCTCCTCTCACTTGCAAAAGGACATCTCTCCAACTATTTGACCCTCTCTACTGGATCATTTCCACAGCATATAAACAAGTTTTAATTTTTTCATTTAAAAATATCTTCCCACTTAAAACAGATGCAAATAGATTTCCAGGAGATGAAAAACTCCACTGAAAGTCTACACAGCAGAATGAGGCAATATGAGGACAGAATTTCAGAT